CGATCTTTAACACTATCACTCTGGCTGCTGTGTTGAGAACAGACGATGGGTCTAGGGTAAAGCAAGGAGGCTGATGAAGGGGAAGGCTCAAAAGACAGTGGGAAAGGAACCAGAAGAGGCTGGTTCTGTGGGGCCGGAGCCAACAGGGCTGACTGACGACTTGGGGTGTAGGGGAGAAGAGCATGGGTGGCTTCAAGGCTTCCCTGCATCTGCCCAGCCCGGCCCTCACATCCTGTCCCTCTGGGTGCTGTGTGTACACATGTCCAGTCCCGGGGGCTGTGCACTGCAGGCCTATCTCCTCTGGCTGGCCTAGAGGTCTGCCAGCTTCTGCCAAGAAGGGTCCTTTGAGCAAATCACAGCTTTCTCTGCTTGGGACCATCTGCCTGAGGTCACTGGTAGGGGTGGGGAAGTGGATTCAGCCCCTGGAGCACTGGGAGGGAGGCTATGCCTAATCCCCAGAGGCAGTCCAGTAAATTAGGACTGTACCCATATCAGTGAGATATTTTCTGGGGCACTCCCAGACCAATATCCTTCAGCCCGGATCCTGTGAGTCAGCTAGACCTGAATGTGACCAGCTTTCTCCTTCACTGCTCTCTTGGCTGGCTTCTTCTCAGGCTCCAGCCTTCTGTAGGGGCAGCTGAGGCCACAAGTAAAGAGTCTGCTCTGAGAGGGGGTAGCCCACACCCCTTCGTCAGGGCAGCCCTGGCCCCTCCTATTGGACGTGTTCTTTCAGAATCCCAGTTTGAAGGGCCTCCTCCCATGGCATCCTGTGTGGGGCTGGACTCTCATTATTCCACACCCTGAATTCAGGCTTCGAGCTCCTTCCAGGCCAGCTGGGCCTGGCCTCCACTGAGAATAGCACCACTACAGAGCAGTCTCCCCCAGCTGACTCCGTGCTGAGCTCTCCACTGGCCTCTCTCCGGCCTGCTGGGGCCGTCCATTACAGAGGGCTCGTTGTAAGAGCAGGCTCTGAAAGCCAGGTGCGATGGCTCACTCCTGTAATCCCAGCACTTTGGGAGGCCAAGATGGGCAGATCACCTGAGGTCAAGAGTTTGAGACCAGCCTGACCCATATGGAGAAACTCTATCTCTACTAAAAATACAAAATTAGCTGGGCGTGGTGGCACATGCCTGCAATCCCAGCTACTCAGGAGGCTGAGGCAGGAGAATTGCTTGAACCCAGGAGGTGGTGGTTGTGGTGAGCCAAGATTGCACCACTGCACTCCAGCCTGGGCGACAGGGCGAGACTCTGCCTCAAAAAAAAAAAAAAAAAAAGAGTGGGTTCTGGGATACAAGTTCTGCCACTCCTTCACCTGCATGTGACCTTGGCCAGTCACCTATCTTCTTCAAGCCTCTCCTTCTGACACTGTGATGTTCCTTACACATTGGAGGCCCTCATAAATGCTTTCTGAATAAGTCTGCATACAATACACTTAATGCAGTTCCTGACCCAGAGAACATGCTTAGTAAACGTCAGCTATTTAAATTATCCCCATTTGCGGATGAAGAAACCAAGGCTCAGATATGTACCTTGTCCAAGGCCTCAGGGCTGGGAAATGGTGGAGCCAGGTTCCCATATGCCCTGACCCATCAGTTCACCTCCCCCTGCATGCTCCCCATTCTTACCTGACTCTGTGAGGCCAGCACAAGTATGTCAACCCTCAGAGGGATGAATGGAGAAGCCAGAAACTTATACTCTTGAGAACTTCTGAGGGGACGGGAGGCTCCTGTCATTATGGGAGATACAAAGATGAATTAAACACAGTTTCAGCTGCTCAAAGGGCCGCCAATCCAGAACTGAGAGCCATAGCCTCTGGGAGCAGAGTCTATCCCTACACAGGACCCAGCAAGCCTCAAGGGAGGGTGGCATCTGGATTCCCAGTACACAATTGGTTCGTTGAATCAAAACGTTCACAAGAAATAGTGGCCACACAATATGAATTTTAAAAGACAAGTCCAGAGCTGGGCACGGTAGCTCACGCCTGTAATCCCAGCACTTTGGGAGGTCAAGGCAGGTGGATCACCTGAGGTCTGGAGTTCAAGACCAGCCTGACCAACATGGAGAAACCCGGTCTGTAAAATGAACTGATTCTCCTTCCTTCACAGGTTGCCATGGAGCACTACTGAGCCTATGGCCTACTTCATAGAAAATGCTTAATAGGCCAGGTATGGTGGCCCATGCCTGTAATACCAGCATTTAGGGAGGCTGAGGTGGGCGGATCACCTGAAGTCGGGAGTTTGAGACCAGTCTGGCCAACATGGAGAAACCTCCTCTCTTCTAAAAATACAAAATTAGCCAGGCATGGTGGCACATGCCTGTAATCCCAGCTACTCAGGAGGCTGAGGCAGGAGAATCGCTTCAACCCAGGAGGCAGAGGTTGCAGTCAGCCAAGATCGGGCCACTGCACTCCAGCCTGGCCAACAAGAGCAAAACTCTGTCTCAAAAAACAAACGAACAAAAAAAGACAAGTCCAGGTTGCAAACATTTTGTCCCACTGTTGTAATAGAGTATGATGCACCCCACAGAGTGGGGTACCAATATTGTGGTACCTAAATGACCTCTCACAGCCAGGTGGATTACAAAATCTGTGTTATTCCACATGTCCTAAGTTTGACTTGGGGAAAGATGGTCCCCATTATGATGGGCACACAGATGCCAGCTACCCCCAGCCTCGCCTCGTGGGCATGTGCACGTCCACACAGACTAATGCCAGCCAAGACAAAGGGTCACCCACTCTGGAGCAGGAGGTGGCAGTTGTGGTGAGCCGAGATTGCACCACTGCACTCCAGCCTGGGCAATAGAGCAAGACTCCACCTCAAAAAAAAAAAAAATTAGATGACTTGATGACTTGAGTTAGTGCCCCTTCCTCTTTCCAGTAATGATCCTAACAGCAGTGCTGGGCACTGTAAGGTCTGGAGGGGGCTTTGGTATCCCCAGAGAAAACAGACTGTGGCTTTGCATGCTCCTTGTCAGCATGAAAGGCAAGGCCTTTCTAAGTGTCACTTTCTCTAAGTGACACCAAGGTTGCAGCCAGGGTGTCTCTGACCGGGGCTGCTGTCCTCAGATGTGAAGGCTTTGCCATCAGCCTCTTGCTACAGACCTGCCTCTCACATTAACTCCTGCCAGGACTTTTGGTTTCGGTTTCTGAGAGCAGAAATAGGTTCTACCATTTCCCTCTGTTGTCCTCTACACACCCCCTCCTCCTACCCTACTTCCTTCCTGGCTCTTTCTCTCACCCTGGTAGGAAATCCCCTCCCCACCAACCCCTGGTCTCTGACTCTGTGAGAGGACAAGAAGAAGAAGAGAGAGACAGAGAAGGGAGGGAGAAAGGGAGTTGCCAGAGACCTCACTCCATCTTCGGGGCTGGGTGATCACTCACAAATCTGCAAATTGTGCCCTGCACAACCCTAGAGGACACAAGTCCCAAGTCACCAAAATTTGCATCTTTATTAGCATACTTTTCAGGCAGATGGCAGTAAAGTGTCTTGAGAAGGAATAGTCTGAAGCTCTCGAGTGGGGTTAAAGGACTGAGTGCTTTTCGGTTCTGACCTCCTAGAAGCCCCAAGGCACCCCCAGTCCTTGAACTGTAAGCCATTTATCCCTCTGCTCAACTTTCCAGCTGGGCTGAAAACCCAGTGAGAGACTCTAGCTCAAAAGAGGCTAACCAATCACCTCTAGGTCCATTTGTGGGGCCCCAAGCAAGTCTCTTCCTTTCTAGGCCTCAGTTTCCCCATCTGTAGTATGTAAAGAGGACAAAATGATCTCTAAGGGGCTATCCATATTTAACATCTAAGTCTGTGCTGAGGGTACCTGGAGGCAGATGATTACAGCTGGGTTGCAGCCTCGGGGTCTTTGTTTCTCTGAAGGAAGGAGGTTGTTGGTTGTTCCCTTGACTGACAGAAGGGCTCAGTGAGGATTCTTACGTTGAAGAGTGTGGAGAGAGGCTGCATGACCTGGGGCAGCTCCTCTAACCTCTCTAAACCTGTTTCCTCCCCATGAAATGGAGGTGGTAATATTCACCTTGCAGATGACTGTGAGGATTGAAGGAAGTACTGTTTGCAAAAGTGCTGGCGCCCGAAGGAGGCAGCAGAGGAGGGTGGCGGTGGGGCACGGCAGCCACTGCCTGAGCTCAAGCTCCGGGGCAGGAAACCCACCTGACAGGCCACCCCCGCCCCTCTCTCTGCAGGGCCACACCTCTGGGAGGATATCCAGGGCCCGCACAGCTCTGAGGGAACACCAAGGAGCCCACACCCCTTAGCCTGTCTTGCCAGTCCCTCCCCTACCTATGCCCTGCGGCCCCGCCCCGCCCAGCCCCCCGACACCTCTAAACGAGCCATGCACACCCTCCTGCCTTTACCCACGCTGCATCCCTTCCGAGTCACGTGCCCTTCCCTCTCCCCCTCCTCAAGACAGCTAAATCCTGTTCATTGTTAAGGGCCCAGCTCAAATGTCACCTTCTAAGGGAAGGCTTTCCCTGCCCTTCCAGTAAAGAGAATACTCATTCTTCCTGTTGCCTCCCTCAGCCCCACACTCAGTCCCGTCAGGAGTGCAGCGGGGCTCCAGTCCGCCAATCCCCTTGCGGAGCCCCCAGTGCCCTATTTAGAGGTAAATTGTCTCTACTCGGCAGAAAGAGTTCAATAAAATGGCACAAGTAGGGCTTTTAAACACAGCGTGGGGCGCACAGTAGACCCCGGCGAGTGCAGCCAGCCAGGCCCGCACTGAGACGAAAGCGCGCGTGGAACCCCCTTTCCAGCCTCCTCGAATTCCTCCAGGAGGACCAGCCCACAGCTCATTGGAAGATCAATTCTGATTGACAGGCTCCCAGCCCAATGGTTGGCCAAGCCCGGGAACGGCTCGGAAGCAGGTGGTCGGCCCCTTCCCCTCTCTGGGGCCTCTACCTGCGGAAGGCCGCGCTCGGGCCTGGTTTCCACACGATTCCTGTGTCAGCCTGTGGGACCAACCGCCCCGCTGATGACTCAGGTCTCCTCCCCACCCTTCCCCTTCAGGAAGAGGCCCTGTCATAATCGCAGTTGTACTACATAAAAATAGCTTCGGCTTACAGCGACATGAGCACAGCCCTTTCCACTGAGGGAAGAGGAAGGCAGTTTCCCCCTACGCATCCCCCTGGGTCCCTCTTCAAAAGCGGATCCTCTAGGGCGGGGTCTTCACAGTTCTCAGCAATAGATTCACCAGCGGTTTCCTCTCCAGCTTCGGTGCTGAAAGTTTTTTTTTTTTTTTAGAAGAGTCTCGCTCTGTTGCCCAGGTTGGAGTGCAATGGCCAGTCTCGGCTCACGGCAACCTCTGCCTCCCGGATTCAAGTGATTCTCCCGCCTCAGCCTCCAGAGTAGCTGGGATTACAGGCGCAGGCCACCTCACTGGGCTAATTTTTTTTTTTTTTAGTCGGGACAGGGTTTCACCATGTTGGTGAGGCTGGTCTCGAACTTTGACCTCAGGTGATCCGCCCACCTCTGCCTCCCAAAATCCTGGGATTACAGGCGTGAGCTCCCGCTCCCGGCCGCGGAAGGCCTTTTTTTTCCCTGCTTTGCTACCAGCTTCTCACCTTTTCTCATTTGGCCCTCATGTCAGAGGCGAGGCAGCTGAGGTTACTGTACCCATGTGCAGGTGTGGAAACCCAGGCCAGGAGAGGGGAGGTGACTGGCCTGAGGTCACACAGCAAACTCTCGGGAGCCGAGTTGGGGGTCCTGACTCCTTCACGAGTTCCTCCTGCACCAGCATAGGCCGCCTCCTACGAAAGTGCTGTGGCCACAGCCAGGGCACCAAGAAGGAGAGGTGAGGAAGGCTGGGTGGATGTGAGGGGCAAGACGTTCATGCAACAAACTTTTGTCTGGCTGGGTGTGGTGGCTCATGCCTGTAATCCCAGAACTTTGGGAGGCCAAGGTGGGCAGATCACCTGAGGTCAGGAGTTTGAGGCCAGCCTGGCCAACAAGGTGAAACCCCATCTCTACTAAAAATACAAAACAAATTAGCCAGGCGTGGTGGTGCGCACCTGTAATCCCAGCTACTCGGGATTGGGCCCCAATGTCACATTGGTGGTTTCCCTGTCAGTCAGCCCTGTTGGACGGAGAGTGGCCTCTGTAGGCCCGAAACTGATGGGTCTCAGCCATGAGGCCCAGCCTAGGAGGTGGAGGCCTTTGCAGCCCATTGAATCCCTGCAGTGCAGCCATGGGAGGAGACACCTGCCTGGTATCATGGCCTCTGCTCCTCCCCCTCAAATCCATCCTTTGCTATCAAAATGTAAGGCAGGTCAGAGGGCACAAGCTGGAAGCTTCCAAATGGGTATCTCCCTCCAAATGAGTAGAGAGATATGCACACTGTGTTCCCAGCTGGGTGCCTGAATGTGTAGGAGTATGGGCAGGTGACTGTGTGTGCACATGGTTGTGTACAAACTTCAGGTGTGTGTATCTTCGTCTGTTTTCTGTTATTTGTAACAGAATACCTAAAACTGGGTATTTATAAAGGGAAGGAATTCTTTCTTACAGTGGTGGAGGCTGAGACGTCCGAGGTTGAAGGACTACACCTCGTGAGGTCCTTCTTGCTGGGGGAACTCTGCACAGTCCTGAGGCCCGGCAGGGCATCACATGGTAAGGGGGCTGAGCATGTTAGCTCTGATCTCTCTTCCTCTTCTCATAAAGCCAACAGCCCCTTTCCCGAGATAACCCATTAATCCATTAATCTGTGAATGAATTAATCTATTCATGAGGGCAGAGTCCTCATGACCCAATCACCTCTTGAAGGTCCCACCTTTCACTGCTGCCACATTGGGGATTAAGTTTCAACTTGAGTTTCAGAGGGGACAGATATTTAAACCATAACACTGTGTGTGTGTGTGTCTGTGTGTGTGTGTGTAGCTGCTGTGGTTGTCAACTCAAAGTGAAAAAGCCCTCACTTCCTGTTAAGAATTAATTAGAACATTTCTTTACAGAAGCTCTAGATCTCCCTGTGAGGAGCACAGGAGCCTGGGAGAAGTGGGAAGGCAGAGCAGGCAGAATGTCTTTCCTGAGCAGTGCAGGGAGCAAGGTCAGGACTCCAAGTTCATGTCCCACTGTGCTGTCAACTCACTGCATGACATAAGCAAGTCACCATAGCTCTCTGGTTTCCTTTCTCTAAAAGCAGGAGGGAAGATGAGACCAAATGACCCCTGACCCTTCCTCATTTTTGCAGACTCAGATTAGTATCCAGAGTGCACTCTCCAGAGGGAGAGACCAGGCATGTCACCCACCCTATGTTGGTCTAACCCTTCCCAGACCACTGTGGAAACACCTAGACCCTTTCCTGAGATTGTCTGGGGGAGGGGACAGGGATGGAGTTTCCAGTGGGGAAGGGCTTAGGGGCAGTCAGTCTCCCACTTTCATCAGCAACTTCCTCTTCTCCACCATCCTACACTGACCCGCTCCCTCCCAGTTCCCACAATCTTGACCAGAAGAGAAACACAAATTAGTTGCTCAATAGGAAAAGGCAGGAGCTCCTGCCCCTTCTACCCATCCCATCTGCAGTGGGAGAGGGGAAGTGGGGAAGAGGGCTGGGTTCACAGTCAAAACTGGCCTCCTCATTTTACAGATGAGCAAACCCACACCCAGAGAGAGTCATTGACTACTTACTCAAGGTCATACAGCAACACAGTGGCAGTGCCAGGATTGAACCCAGCATCCTAAAAGCCTTTCCACATCATCAGGCTGCCCTCTGATTCTCACATCCACTGAGGACAGGACACAAGAGCAGGAGCTGACACTGCAGCAAAGGGACTTAGGTTAGACACCAGGAGGCACTTTCCCCTGGTCTTGGTCGACTCCAGGACAGGTAGCAAAGAAGTACTCACCTCCTCTCAGCATGGCTTTAGAGTTAGATACTCTGAAATGCAATCACTCCCTGTGGTTAGAAAGAGAGCTAGGGAGAACAGGCTTCCAGGCAAAGTTACTCTGCTGGGATGGAGGGATGATCCAGGAGGAGGAAAGCTACCATGGCCAGGGCCATCCCCAGTTCTCACTCCCATTCCCACCACAGCTGCGAAAAGATCCCATTTTACAGAAGAGAAAATTGAAGCCCAGAGAGGTAAATTACTTTCTCAAGGTAACACAGAAAGTAGCGAGACCTATATCTTCATTCTCTCCACTGAATAGTTTCCCAAAACGTGGACCACAAGATGAATTTAAAAACCTAGAGCCAGACTACAGTAGCCCATGCCTATAGTCCCAGCTACTTGGGAGGTTAAGGCAGAATTGCTCAAGCCCAGGAGATCAACGCCAGCCTGAGCAACATAGAGAGACCCCATTAAAAAATTTAAAAATTAGGCTGGGCACAGTGGCTCATGTCTGTAATCCCAGCACGTTGGGAGGCCAAGGTGGGTGGATCACCTGAGGTCAGGAGTTCGAGACCAGCCTGGCCAACATAGTGAAACCCCATCTCTACTAAAAATACAAAAATTAGCCAGGCGCGGTGGCTCAAGCCTGTAATCCCAGCACTTTGGGAGGCTGAGACAGGTGGATCACGAGGTCAAGAGATCCAGACCATCCTGGTCAACATGGTGAAACCCCGTCTCTACTAAAAATACAAAAAATTAGCTGGGCATGGTGATGCGTGCCTGTAATCCCAGCTACTCAGGAGGCTGAGGCAGGAGAATCGCCTGAACCCAGGAGGCGGAGGTTGCGGTGAGCCGAGATCGCGCCATTGCACTCCAGCCTGGGTAACAAGAGCAAAATTCCGTCTCAAAAAAAGAAAAAAAATACAAAAATTAGCCAGGCATGGTGGCACATGCCTGTAATCCTAGCTACTCAAGAGGCTGAGGCAGGAGAATTGCTTGAACCCTGCCTCAGCTTAGGGGAGGTGGTGGTTTCAGTGAGCTGAGATCACGCCACTGCACTGCAGCCTAGGAGACCGAGGGAGACTGTCTTTAAAAAAATTTTTTTTAAACACAAATTTCTAATTGAAAAAAAAAAACAAAACCCCAATCCACAAAGTGAGTTTAGGTGGTATGTGGATGAATTGGTTTTAAGATTATTACTACGGCCGGGCATGGTGACTCACACTTACAATCCCAACACTTTGGGGAAGCCACGGCAGAAGGATTGCTTGAGATCAGGATCTTATCTCTACAAAAGTATTTTAAAACTAAGCCTGGTATGGTGGGGTGTGCCTGTAGTCCCAGCTACTTGGGCTCAGGAGTTCTAGGCTGCAGTAAACTGTGATTGCACCACTGCACTCCAGCTCTGGCAACAGAGCAAGCTCCTGTCTCTAAAATAAATAAATACATAAAAGTTTTAAACATAAAATTATTATCTTACTTTAATAATATATTGACCCAAATACAAGTCAGGACAAAAATAATTAACTCATCAAATTCATGATTTCACAGAAATTATGCCCTGTGACCAGGCTAAGTTTTTTGTTTGCTTTTTACTTATTTTTTATTTTTTTGTGTCAGCATTTTCGCAAGCATATTTTTATTTTTTGAGACAGAGTCTTGCTCTGTCACCCAGGCACAAGATTGTGGCTCACTGCAACCTCTGGGTTTAAGCAATTGTTCTGCTCAACCTCCTAAGTAGCTGGAATTACAGGTGCTTGCCATCATGCCCAGCTAATTTTTGTATTTTTAGTACAGACGGGGTTTTGCCATGTTGACCAGACTGGTCTCAAACTCCTGACCTCAAGTGATCTGCCCTCCTTGGCCTCCCAAAGTACTGAGATTCAGGGGTGAACCACCACATCCAGCCTGTTTATTTTTTTACTATTTTATGTTTAAAATCACATTATTATTGTTATTATTATTATTATTTTTGAGACTGTCTTGTTCTGTCACCTAGGCTGGAGTGCAATGGTGCAGTCACAGCTCACTGCAGCCTCAACTTCCCAGGCTCCAGCGATCTTTCTACTTCAGTTTCCCAAGTAGCTGGGACCACAGGCATGCACCACCACACCCAGTTAATTTTTGAATTTTTGTTAGAGATGTGGTTTTGCCATGTTGCCCATGTTGGTCTCAAACTCCTGAGCTCAGGCAATCCACCCACCTTGGCCTCCCAAAGTACTGGGATGATAGACGTCAGCTACCATATCTGAAAACAACTAGGCTAAGTTTTAAAAGGAGTTGATTTACAGAAAAATATTAAGTGGATAGTAGTTTAAATAGCAAAAATCTGGAAAGTGATGCTGAATGTTTGAAACTTTCAGTACTGGAAGCCCCTTGGTCAGCGGCAATAAATAGGAACCTCTGGCTACCTGGTTTGCAAACACAGGGTGATTCCTGAGGTGGCCCCTCCTATCTGGTCCCTCTAGGGCAAGGGTCCCCAAACGCCAGGCCGCACAGCAGGAGATGAGCATCCAGCTACTGATCATTACTGCCTGAGCTCTGCCTCCTGTCAGTTCAGCAGCTGCCTTAGTTCACAATATTGTGAACTGCGCTTGTGAGGGATCTAGGTTTTATGCACTCATTTTGTGTTTTTTTTGTTTTTTTGGGCGGGATGGAGTTTCGCTCTTGTTGCCCAGGCTGGAGTGCAATGGTGTGATCTCGGCTCACCGCAACCTCTGCCTCCCAGGTTTAAGCAATTCTCCTGCCTCAGCCTCCCGAGTAGCTGGGATTACAGGCATACCCCACCACACCCGGCTAATTTTTGTATTTTTAGTAGAGACAGGGTTGTACTATGTGGGCCAGAATGGTCTCGCTCTCTTGATCTCAGCCTCCCAAAGTGCTGGAATTATAGGTATGAGACACTGCGCCAGGCCTGTGCACTCCTTAGGAGAATCGAATGCCTGAGGAAACCATACCCTGCCCCTGACCCCCAGGTTCATGGAAAAAGTAGAAACCAAGGCCAGGTGTGGTGGCTCATGCCTATAATCCCAGCACTTTGGGAGGCCGAGGCGGGTGGACCATGAGGTCAAGAGATTGAGACCATCCTGGTCAACCAGGTGAAACCCCGTCTCTACTAAAAATACAAAAATTAGCTGGGCATGGTGGCGCACACCTGTAGTTCCAGCTACTCGGGAGGCTGAGGCAGGAGAATTGCCTGAACTCAGGAGGCGGAGGTTGTGGTGAGCCGAGATCGCGCCATTGCACTCCAGCCTGGGTAACAAGGGTGAAACTCCGTCTCAAAAAAAAAAACAAAGTAGAAACCAGTCTCTGGTGCCAAAAAGGCTGGGGACCACTGTTCTAGGGGTCATGCAACTCTGGGCCATGGTGTGTGTGTATGTGTCAGAAGGATGAAGGGCAGCCCTGTAGGGGGCTCAGAAGTGTGAGCTGCAGCCCCTGGACACCTATAGCCAGCTCTGAGAAGGTCTTGAAGCTCCCCACTTGGCCTGCATGGGTACCCTTTCTCTCTCAGTTTTAGCTCCTTGTTTTAGATCTGGGTTCCTATTCTCCTCTGTCCAGCTAAGTTTCAGCCTTGCTCATTGTCTGAGAAGCCATTGTCTGACAGGAGGGAGACTCTGGGGCTCCCTGAGGAGGCAGCTGTACTCTGGGGCCTTCCCTCCTGGGCCTCCAGGCCTGGCCAAAGGGGCCAGTACCATGCAGCTGAGCATCAGGCCTGGCAGCTGGCCACCTTCTTGGGCCCAGGGACTGAAAGAGGTCACAGAGCCCAGCCAGGGCTCTTGCCAG